TGACAAACTCACTGGATTCTCATGAACAATCCTGGAGAAATTCATTAGCATCACCTGTTATGTATTTTATTTAACATCAAAATTCCTAATTCATAATTCTTTTAGTATTACTTCCTAATGACTTTATAATTTTCAGTGGTGTGCCATCCATGAAGTTATAGAAGTTCCACTTCACTTGTATTTTCTAAAATATAAATACATATTGTGTGATTATTTTCATATTTTAAAATACTTTGAATTACTTAAAATTAATATTTTATTATAACCGCATTATGGTTATTACAAATTTCTCTACATGTGAAAAACAATAATGAGATTGCTATTGTATTTTTGAATATAAATTTGTGTATGCATATTTTCAATGGAAGTGCCATATTGTTGAATAAGAGACAGCTTCCATGGCAAAAATATCTGAATTGTGTAAAGCAACCAGATTATAGGCATTCATGCATGTACTTTACAGAGCACCAATCTCTTGCGGTTTAGCTGGTGGATGCTGCACACCAAAATATCGTATAACACTTCCAATGATTCTATCCATCAGCCACTCGTAGGGAGCTATTTGACTAAGTGGATTGTTTTAAGAGTTAAAAAGTAAAGAATATTTTATGTTATTTTTATGCACATTTCTTTACAAAGCTATATTTAATTATAATTATATTGACAGATTTTCAGACATAAAACCTTTAGAATTTTTATCACTTTTAGATGTTAATAATTTTAAATATTATGAAAAACAATTTTCCAAAGCAAGTTTTAATTCTTTAAATTAAGTAAATTTTATGGAAAATTTTTATTTATCTAAATTACATTTTGAATTGTGGTATTTATGTTCATGTTGAGACTATATTGCAAGTACCTCTTAGACATAAGAAATATTAAAATTAATGATGATCTGAACAAAAAGAATTATATAATTTAATATCATTAATTTTTATGGTACCATCTACAAATGCATCTGTTGAGTGCAGTTTTTCAACCATGAAGTGAATTGATACATTTGCAAGGAACACTCAGTCAGAGGAAAGATTGTCGTCACTAGCATTGCTCTCAATAGAAAAAGAGCTTTTAAATATTTTGATGGAATCAACAAAAAACCATTTTTATGATAAAGTAATTAACAACTTTGGGGGAAAAGTTGCCAAATAGAGTTAATTTCTAAAAATAATAAAAACAAGTTCTTATATCTTTGTTTCATATCAATTATCTATTTTAGAATTAAAATAATAAACTGTTTATTTTTTAGTCATTTCCAGTATTTGTTTAAAATTTTTATGGAAACACAACTTCCCTACCATCAAATGTCACTGCATGCTACTGATAATTTTCAGAAATAAGAATAATAAATTCTGTGATCTCAGGACTGAAGAAATAAATCCCATAATCTTGGTATTGCAATGCTTATTTTTAACAAGATAACATACTGAAGATTTTTAGCAGTTGCTTGATGTCCTGTGTTAATCTTGTTGCAGACATCCCTTTTTATTTGAGTTATATAAAATATACATTGAAAGATATTATGATTAGTGTCTTGATGTGTGTGGTTTTATGTGTTCTTTCCAGTCTGTTGTAAATCATATTCATATCTCAGTTCTAGACTAGTAATATGTACGTTAAAGGTTGGTTTATGTGGCAGATATAAATCTAAAACTAGAATTTTTAGCTGAAAAGCTTATGGTTGACATATATGCCAGAATGTATGATGTTTTTAAATTATTAAGAAAGATAAGTGCTTAGATATGTTCAAAATTATTATATTATTAATCAAATCTAGTAAACACATTTAACTAAACCTTTAACTTCAAGTAACAAAAATTTTTAATGTTGGTTTAATGGAAGTTAAAGGTTTAGTTAAATGTGTTTATTAATTTGTTCCAGTACTGAGAAAGTAATTTTAATCAAGTCTAATAAATGTAATTGCTATTTGAATTATTTTTATTATATTGTATAGATTCATTCAATTTCCTTATAGTACATATAGCTAAAAAAAAAATATTAAAATAATATTTTTTCAACAGTGTAGTTTGTTTATTCAGAGCCAAAATTTATTTCAATGATTCATTATAAATTTTTTAATAAGAACAATAAATATGTTAAAAAGAATCCAATTCTGAAGTGTGCTTAATTTTAATACCATAAATCTTCATTCAATTATCCATGGGCGATCAGGTAAGGTTTTGAATTTAACTTTTATGGGAAAATGTTTCACTTAATCATCCATGGGCAATTATGTGGAAGTTTCATCCATTTCAGTCACACCCATTACAGAGTAGTGAAATGGATACTTGATCATACTAGATGTTTTCTACCATAAGTATTCCATTCAGTAGCAGACAAGATTAGAATTACCAAGTTTCTAATTCTTCCAAAATTTTTGTCTGTATATTATTATTATTTTTTCAATTTTATTTTTATATTCACTCCAAGACTGATCATATAAAAATGATTTTTTTTTTTTTGCATTAACTCAATAAGATTTTCATCATAAGTCACTATAACTTTTGAATGGAAAATGTATCCTGTTGGCTATTGTTTGATGACATCTATCCATAAGAATGATTTTGATATCCATAAATGTGTCATTACTAGGCAATGGTCTCAATGATCTATACAAATCCATTTTACTACATGAAATTATATAGCAGAAACTAGTCTTTATAGTACTATGGTACTAAAAGAAAAATGTTTCATTTAATTGCCCATGGGCAATTAAGTGAGTCTGTTTACATGGCTGAGGATTTATGATAACTATTTTAGCTAAATATATTACAGATATGTATTTATATAAATATATCTTTAATATAATGGTTTTCAAACATTTCTTAATATTAAGGATATTAATTTTATTAAAGTAGAAAATGTTACATCATTAATAATTTTGATATTATATCATGTATATGCATTTGGATAGATATCTAATTGAACAACAAAAAATTGCAAACTGATCAATAAACTATATGTAAATCCAGTTAGTATTTGGGATAGAAATGATCTGGAAATACTAGATCTGTTGTAATATACTGTATGTCTTCTTAATGCCCACATGTCAAAAAGCATAAAATTTAAATAAAATAAATTATCTGTTTATTGATTTAGATAACACAGTGCATTCTTGGTAATCTGAATTAATTATTATATTCAGATTAGTGAAAAGTTTGGAGCATTGACTCTATATATAAAGAAAAAAATTGAAAAGGACAATAGATGAACACATACATATATTTTGATATATACATTTATGTTAAGATGTGTAGTACATATTAATTTTACAAATTCAATGTTTTTAAAAAATTAATTCACAATTTATATTTGTTTTTGACTTTTAATTTAGCTTCAGAACAAACTTGGTTCAGATTAACACAATTTTGGATTAGGAGTCCACTGGATTAAAACAATATATTTTATTTGAAAGAACTAATTTTGTTTTGATTGTTTTATAAAGAATGTTTCTAGAAGACAAATTAATATTTAATTATGTGTTGGATTTAGTGGGTTACTTGGTTCACACCAGTGGCTGTGTACTATGCTGGACAAGAGTCAAGGCATAGCAACCAAAACAAAACTAAAATTAAACATGTGTGTCAGTGTCAGTGCCTGTATTCAGGAATTTCCTAACAATGTGGCATGTATTCAATATAGTGGCCTTCTGTAGTGTGATGTATGTGTTTCTATTCAATTGTAATGTTCCCAGGCTTTTGTGTACTGTGTGTGGTATCACACCTGTACAATAAGCATCCTTTCCATCCTCCACAGATGCCTTATTTCCTGGGCGAGTTCTGTGTACTTGCTAATTTTTTCAGTGCATGTGTTTTGTACAGTACATTGTGAGTATTTGGAATGGCTATGTCTATAATGTGTGTGATTTTATTGTGTTTGTCAATGAGTGTGATGTCTGGTCTGTTGTGGTAAATTGTTTTATCTGTGATTATGGCTCTGTTGTAGTACATTTTGTGCGTGTTGTTTTCTAATACTGTCTGTGGAATGTATTTGTAGTATGGTTCGTGAATGTCTACCAGTTTGTGTTTCTTTGCAAGCTCTTGGTGTATTATATTTGCTACTTGATTGTATCTGTGTAAATAATCTGTCTGTGCCAAGAGCTTGCACCCAGAAGTGATGTGTTGTATAGTTTCTGGCATGATTATTATTATTATTATTCTGTTTTTTGTGTTTAATAGTATAATTAAAAATGACAACTTTCACATACTGTCTAATATTTATATCAGACAGTATGTGAAAGAAATAGTCAACTTACTGCTCACAAAACTTAAGTTTGGTGGCTGCTTTATTCATTTAGAATCAGTCTGTGCTACATTTGGTGCTGGTCTTAGTTATGCTTGTGTTGTTGATGTTGGTGATCAAAAAACTTCAGTAGCTTGTGTAGAGGATGGTTTTTCACATAGAAATACAAAATTGTGCATGGAATATGGAGGGAGTGATATAACACAATTATTCTATTGGCTTTTTAAAAAATGTGGATTTCCTTATAAATTTAAGTCACAAAATTTTCAGTTATATTTCCATTAATTTTGATTAAGTTCATGATGATTTGTCTAATCTCCCAAAGTTTGATATTTCTGGCAATTAGATCACTATTTTTTAAAATCTGTTTGTCATTTGCTTTTATTATTTAAATCTTTACTGAGTGAATTTCATTCTGGAATATTTGTTAGTAAATTTATATAAATTTATGTTTTGAAATTATCTTCTTTAAGTTAATTAAATGAATTTTTTATATTGTAATATTAAATATTATTACAAGAAAGAATAAATAAAGTTTAAAATATAACAGAAAATATTAATTTATAGCATGTTTTTATTTGCATTTGAAATAATATAACATAAAAGCAATCAAAATGTTGCAATTAATCATTTCACAATAAATATATATATATATATAATTTTTTATAATTCACTACATTTTTATAAAGTCATAATGAATATATTAGCACTGTTTGTATGAAAATTGCAGATAAAGAAACATTTTCATATATAAACCAGTATTTACAAATTTTCTTATATTTCAGTATTTCATATATAAACCTTTTTAAAACTGTTGAAAAAAAACAGCTTAAAATAGATCTTCAGAATGATACAGTAATTTACTTCAAGAAAATAGCAGTATTAAGGAGTTGTCCATTAATTACACGTACAGTTTTTGAGGTACTTTTAACTCTCCTTCCTGTTGTGTACAGTGATGTACCTTTAGCAAATTTTTATCCTTTCAATTATGTTTACAACAGTTCACAGACCTTCTGATATTGAAGAAATGATTTTAAAAAGTTATGAAAATATTTTCTGATAGTTTATTCACATGATTAGTAAGTGAGCTTATAAGAACAAATTTGAATGCCACTAATATCACTAAAAAAGGACCATGCAGCCCACAAAAATACTTTGACCCTTCCTTCCCCTTAATGCACTTTTTACAAACCCATTTCTCCCCTTAAACTGTATACATAATTAATGGGTGCCACCTAAGAAAAATGCTCTATTAGTTGAAATTTTTTAAGTATATTAATTTTTATTAAGAATCATTTTGCTGAAGTTTTCTGTTATGGAAATATTCCATTAATATATTGAGTTTTTGATTCAATAGACATAGGATTGGATACATATTGCAAAGAAGCATTTGAATAAGTATCTGAATTTGAATCACCAAGCATGTTTGGATTTTCTACTACATAATACAGTTTGTTTCCTATTCCTTCACCAGTATTCATTTCAGTAATTATATCAGATTCATTGGTTTGTGCTGAATATGAAATATTGTCTTTATGTTTTATTTTATAAAAAATCATTACTACCAAAATGGTAAGTATTACACATACAAGAACCACACAAGCTATTACAATGCTATTTGTGATCTTTTCTTTTGAAGTTTTTTGTGTAATAAGTTCTTTAAATGTTGGAACACTTGTTAAAGTTTCCATTTTATAAATATTTGTTGACAAATCAGTTGTATAATTTTTTAATTTGTAACCTGTATTTACTACTTCATAACTGTTATCATTTGAGATTTTTCCATTTTCTAAAGTTGTAAAATTATCTGATGCAACTGGTTTTATTGTTGTGTTATAACCTTTGATAGTAACTTGAGATGGGTATCGTTTTTGATGTATTGTTGTTATTTCTGTAGAAATTGTTGGGTTTTCACTTATAAAATCTTTTCTATTTAGAAAAATGATTTGTTTATTTTTCATAACAGGTGGAGATGCACATAAAATACTTTGTTTTTCATAGAAAGTCACACTTGTTTCTGTTTTTATCCATTGGATTAGCCAAAGAATATTTTGATCACATTCCCATATATTTTCATTTAACTTAATCATTTTTAGGTTAGGAAAAAAAGAAGGGAAATCTTGACGTAAATTTTTTAAGTTATTGCTTCGAAGATTTAACTGCTGAACATTTTTAAGATTTTTAAGGATTTCAGTGGAATTTACTATTATTTTTGTTATTTCTGGACTGTCATATAGATCTAAATTGATTAGATTTTTAAGAGGATAAAATAAGCCATTTTCTAAAATAGTTTTAGATTTAGTTCTTGCTAAATGCAATGTAGACAATTTTGTTAATGGCAGGAAACATTTAGATTCTATTTTTTTAATATTATTTTGAGAAATATCCAATGTTTCTAAAGATGTTAAATTAGCAAATAATCCATCAGTTAAAATTGTTATCAAATTAGCCTGCAGATCTAAATGCTGCAAATTTTTCAGATCATAAAATGCACTCTTAGAAATATTTTCTATTTTGTTTCTTTGTAAAAACAATTGCTCTAATTCGATCAAACCTCGAAAGCTGTAATTAGGCAGACTGATTAAATGATTTTCTTCGATATAAAGCGATCTAAGACTTGAAGGTAGATTCGATGGTACATTTGTTAATTTGTTACCGTTTAACCAAAGTCTCATCAAGTAGTTTTGATTTGAAAAAGAGTTATTTTCAATTTCAGTTATATTATTATCGTCCAAAACAAGTAAACCTAAATAAATATAACTGTCAAATTCACCTCGATGTATTACTGTTAAATTATTTTTGGCCAATCGAAGATCTCTCACGTATCTTTTAAGACCTTGCGGAACACTGTCTATGCCAATTCGAGATAAATCAATATATTGAAGTCTTGTACTATAAAAAGTTAAGAGAGGAAACTTCATAAGAGGATTATTGCTGAGTATTAAATGAGCTAAACTTCTTAGATATTGAAAAGTTTCGTTGTGAATATAGTTTATCTTATTAGAATCTAGATTCAAATATTGTACCTTATTTAATCCGGTAAAACTGTTTTCTGTTAGTCGAGATAGTTCATTGGCTCGAAGATTTAATTGTTCCAACTCTCCGAGATATTGGAATGCTTTTTCAATATCAAGCAGTTTATTTGATGAAATATCGAGGTAACGTAGCTGTCTTAGCCCTTCGAAAATGCCTTCTGTCAAACTGGAAAGTAGATTTTGATTCATTTCCAATCGAGATAAATTTTTCAATGCATTAAATGCTCCAGCCTCTATAGTAGTAGTTTGCATTTGTTGCAGTTTCAGTTCTCGCAGGTGTATCAAATCTTTAAAATCCTCGACAGAGAGAATATTTAACAAAAAATTCCGTAGTTCTAGTTTGACAGCCGTCTCCGGTAAATCTTGTGGGATTGACCATAATCCATCACCTACACAAACTACGTATTGTATATTATCATCACAGAAACAAATATCGGGACATTCGGTGTTCGAGAACGTCAAATTAAGAAATAATGAGAGAAAAACAAATAATATTCCCTTAATATCCATTAGAATACTGGTTTAAACAACTACTCGTTTGACTAATTTACTCCTAGTCTATTTCCCGTATTGGCATTATCTCCGGAAATAAGTTGTGATTCCGTTATTACAAACTTTGATTTATAGTTTATTATGTCGAAATAGAAGAAAATAAATGAGGATATATCAAATTATTGTTATAAAAATTTATAAATGGAATAATGCTGAAATTTTAGGAGTTAATCTTGTTTTTAATTTACTTAATTAATCTGAATTCGTCCAAGTATATTAATGTTAACGTTTAGTGGAAACATTCGACGACCTTGATCGTAGATATACTTCATATACATTTAATTTATACGTTTAAATTATATATATTATATATTCAATTAAGTCGCATAAATTAAAATTTCTTTTATATTATTTCAGATTTAGGTGATAATGCCAATCAAAAGGACGTACAAGGTATTCATGAAAACCATACTTAATATTTGTTATATATTTTAATAATTATTAGTTATTAAATGTTATTAGAAATAACATTTCTTTTTATTTTCAGAATTTGAAGATAATATGACGGAAGAAGGTATGTTTAATTATCAGTTACCATAATAATGTTGTTTACATTATCACCATAACAGTAAATAATTTAATTGTAGGACGATTATTAATTTAAGTATTAAAAATATAATTCTAGATTAATTTTTTGGGCGTTATAGAATACTTTTTAAAACTTTATAGATTTGTTTTGCATACTTGAAAGATTTATCATATAGGATAAACATTAGTAAATTCGTGATAAAATTAATTATTGTTTAAATGGAAATGTTAACTATACTATTAAAGGAATCATACTCTCAAGATAACAGCATTGCTTTTTGTCATTGTGAATATATTTATATCGTAGTTTTCTAGGAGTATATTTTTTGTGTTGCATACAGATGATTATTTCGTGATAATACATTGCTAATTTCGTGAGAGGATACTTTAGCCTATATATTGGGTTGCAATTTGAAAAAATTATAGATCTATAAATTCCCACTATCGTCTGTCTGTTTCTGTCCTTCCTTAATCGCGAGAACGGAGTTGAATAGATGAAAGACGAGAACAGATGTGGAAAGCCTAGGGAAAGGAGGCCCCGATTAATTATATAGGGACCTCCGGTGCGAACTGGAAGTCATGTTATTTTAATTCAAAAATTTTTCCCTTAAAGGAGTTAGATAGGTGACCGGCAAGACACTACTAATTTGAAGTGGAAAGCATATATTTTAAATTAAATAAATTTAAAATGTCATTAAAAATTTTAGCCCAGCGTTGTGACGATGTCACAATAAATAATTTTTCACATTGACGATATTTTGATGCATTTCGAATAGTAATTTCGCGCTATATTGGTTATTTTGTCGTTCTTTTTTTGGACCTAAAACGTATGGCAGATACTCAGGATATATTCAACTAACATTATCAATAAATTACATGTATTATTATTTTACTTTTCTAACGACGATAATTAATTATTGAATAGTACTTGTGTTGATGTCTAGAATTTCACTACCAAAGCTAAGAATGTTGTTGAAAGAGCTAAGAAAATTTAAACACACAATACTAAAAAAAAAATAATAATCACGAGTTTAAACATATCTCCAGTTCTTAGTTTATTGAAATATCAAAGAATAATTCACTTACCATCAATATTTTGTTTGTAAATTTAAGATAAAACTAGTCTCCTCAACACTTCTACAAATTTCCAATTTTTTGTTCTTACAATAGAGATCTTTTTGCTAACACTTATAAAATGACTGTTTACTCAAACAAACAAAAAATTTTCAAATTTAATATACAGGGTGGTAAAGAAAGTCGCTTAATACCTCTGCTACAGAATATAGAATGTATAGTACCGTTGATTTGAATTTAGAATGTAAAGTTAATTTGCTCGTATCAAGAATACATTAGACCAAGGGGGAAACAGATTGATGTACGTTACACCGGCCGTGCGTGTAACACATATCAATCTGTTTCCTCTTGGTCTAATGTGTTCTTGATACGAGCAAATTAACTTTACATTCTAAATTCAAATCAACGGTACTATACATTCTATATTCTGTAGCAGGGGTGTTAAGCGACTTTCTTTACAACTCTGTATTCCACACTATCTGCGAACAAAATTTCAAATCTCATCTTACACTACTTATTTGATGAAGATGAATTTAAAAAGTATCACTAAATTATCAGTATCACGGAATTAAATTTTGTGCAGATTATGCTAATTAAATGTTTTATATAAGATTTTTAATATTAATTTTTATTTATCGGTAATATGTAAAACTTGATTTAAATAAGGACGAATCGATAACCAGCCAGGGCAATATTCCATGCTATTTCTTTTGCCTTGTTATTTATTGATCCATCTCTATAGATATAATGATTTCAGACAATTCCGTTTATCAGTCGTAAATCTTGTTAACTCATTAATTAATTAATTAATAAGATTTAAAAAGACACACACAAATAGTAATGTGGTATCATTAATACCGAAAATGTAACTGCGTAAGCACGAGAAGTGGAGATAAGCAAGAGCAGTTTCGAGAAATTGTCAAAGGATTACAGAGAAGTGTGCGACAATTGCTTGTTTAATTATGTTGTAGTTGTTGTTTATAGGAGTGATTTACTTATAAGTACTGTACATAGAAGAAACATGAAAGGAGTACTAATTTATTATAGAATAAGTTATGATTGTATAATATATATAACACGTTGATAACTTTTATTATAACTTTTAAATAAAAGTCTGTTAATATGATACGAGAACAGAATTTGAGAATATCAGATTGAGCTTGTAATAACATTCACTTATTAAAATATTTTCGTAATTTCATACTTTCACCATCGAGAAATTTATTTATCTATTTATTTATTTATTCCGGAAAAAATTTCCTCGAAATTCATTTGTTCGGTTTAAAAAACAAGAAGAAAATATTTGAACACGGGGACTTTATCATGACATATATTGAAGGTACGGACATTTTATAGAACGGCCTAGAAATAATAAATCTCATTAAAAATTTAATTTGATGTTTGAAAGTTTAGAAGACAAAACAAATGAGCGATATAACCGATAATTATCCTCCAGTTTTGTCTATTCTCGGTCTCGATGCCATCTTGCTTTTTTGTGAGTTATATTTCATATAATGATAGTTTCAAGGTCTATGCACTAACAAGTTTTAACTGAAAGTTATATCTAATATATACAGGATGAAGGTTAAATAAAATTATTAGCAACAAAATTTTTACAAATGAAATAAAACTAGGTATTGTATTTATTCTTCGTGTAAGCCTAATATAATTGATTTTAATCTTTTTTTTTTGTTCAGGAAAAAGTACTTAATTTAATCGAAACGAATAAATATTCGTTCATCCTGTCAAATGGTTATTGAGAACTATTAATAAATTGCTACTTTAATTCAACAGGAAATTGTAAAGAATTTTATATGCTCAGTCTCACACGGAGATACTCAAAAATGCATTTCACGGATTTCGATGAGCTTTCGTGTGGTTATTCTGGGGCTCTAAAAAGTGTCCCCTTAAAGTAATAGATTTTACTTTCGCGTTTTATTCGAGAAAATTGCGATTTTAAGATACTACGACGAATCGCTTTCGGACCCAGGAAATCGGTAGATACTGAAAAACAAGTAATTTTTATGTAGTACAGTATTATTATTCATTCCAACCAAAACTCGAACGTTTGATAGTCGACAGTTGGAAGAGCACTCGTCCACGGATTCTATACTCGTATATACTCGAAACTTTTTGTTTTTCTTTTTTTAATTCGGTTATTTTTATTTTTCACTATCAACTACGATGATTTTAGAGTAATATTGTTTCAGCCAAATAATTTACTTGCAAACGAGGAGTATAATTAGGAAAGTAGTGAATAATTATATAGGCCCTATATTGATAGTTCTTATTAGTTCACAACGCTCTCTGGAAAAATTTTTACACATACTGATGGTAAGCATGCAAATCATATTGCCTTCCTATACCATAAGCACCAAATAAATGTAGGAACCATGCTGCAACAACACTTACTGTTCTTGTTACCGTTAGAATTCACATCATTAATATTTAGAAAAGTACGTTTTTCTGTTTTCAATTATGAAAGATATTGTACAAGGTGCACGACAGCATGACGTTAAAGATAGGTGCCGATAACTGATGCATACCGGTACATGAATTTCTATAGAATGCGCTCGGTTGTGGAGCTCTCGATTTTCTAGGAGAAGTGTCGGATTGGTGTGGAGTTTCGCTATTAAATATTTCAACTGCCTAAAGCGGTAAACATCATGTGACACAGTGCGTACACGTGGAAGGTATAACTTTCACAGTCTAAATAGGCACCCACGAAAGTCGTACCTGCTCATATCTGTCCATTTCATGAATCGAGTACAAGGCAAAAACTTATATAAAATTATACTTCTTGTAGGTAAGTAAATTATTCGGCTGATTATAATATTAGCTCGAAAGTTATCGTAGGTTATAGTGAGCAATAAAGAGTGACAGTGAAATAGACACACTTTTCTGAGCTTCTCCTTGTCAGATTATTTTAAACTAATTTTATTATATCATTTTTATCAAATTATTGGCAGTTTTAAATTAATTGATGGATTCATGTCATTAATAATTGTTGATAACCATTTTAATTAAAAAAAAGTGTTCAGTTGAATAAAAATTGTTTTCAAAACACAATGGACTCACTAAATAGAAGAAGCACTTGCTTGTAATATGAGCAATGCTGTTGATTTTTCTTACTTGAAATTTTAATTTTTACTTGCCAATCAAAACATTAGAAATTACATGAGGTTTTGAATTATACGATTATTATTAGGAAAATTTATAAATATAAGTTTTCTTTAAAATCAGATTCATAGCCCTATAGGACTCTGACAGCCTTAATAGTTTATTATAAAGAAAATATCAATTAGACAGTCTGTAGCGTCTCAAAGGATTTTGAGCGATACGCGAAAATTAGTTTAAAAAATTACATTTTATAGTCATTTTAAAATAAACTAATAATTTTTGTTGTTAATATTGAATTTTCCGCTATAAGTACAGAATCGCTTAAGTGTTGATATTTGTAAATTATACACAATTCAAATCATTTTTATAAATGTATGTATTTTATACAAGCGTTGTTTAATTCTGTTTTTAGTTATTTAAAGTTAAGATATTTTATTTAATTTATTTTGATAATTGAAGAATTAAAGTTTTATTCTGTGTGAAAAAATATATACATTAAGGCAGAAAATCTTGTTTAGGCAGGGTTTCGTTTTGGACATGTTTTACTGTATTTGTTTTTTAGATAAATTTTTTTCATTTATAAAAATTTTCTATCAAAGCAATCTCTGATAAAAAAAGAAATTAGAAGTCAGAATACGCTTTGGATTGAGAATGCATATGTTACTGTCGGATATCTGGCGAATGTCATAATTCACACAGTCGTTTCATGTATGTGTTACCGCTAAAGCTCGAAATCCGTTAATGTGTACATTACCTAGCTAATCTGCAGATTAACTAGGGTGATCCGTTAAA